TATGTCTCTGGATATGGATTCAAGCTGGCGCTTTTAACAGTATTTATTTTTTTAGCTAATTATCAGGATTTTATTAACTACGATTGATTTTTTTACTAACAAAAAAAGCTTTATGAAAAAATGCTTCGATTACTGGTTCGACTATTCCTTCGACTGGTTCGACTATTCCTTCGACTGGTTCGACTATATGCTTCGACTGGTTCGACTATTACTGGTTCGACTGGAGTCGTTACTATCGGAGCCCACTGACGGTCTGTCACGGGGTGTTTCGGACATGCGTTTCAAAAAGTAATTTTTAAAAGGCAATTACGGGGGGAAATTGACCCCAACCACTCAGCGTCTGAAAATGCCCGCCCTTCTTCTATGACGCTAACTTCGTTTGTGTTTCTCCGGTCGGTTCTACAGCAGTTGCCTGCGCACAAAGGACAACCCCCATTAGTTCTGAGCGCGGGTACATGTGTTGAATGCACGCATCTCTCGAATGGCATCAATTTTGCTAATGCATAATTTAATTCCGCTGCGATTTTAAACATTTATGATGGCCTATCCATGTCCCGCGTCACGATCGTGCTTTTCAACGTTGAATGAATGAATGTCGCAGTATACGAACGGCAGACCGGCTAGGGAACTCGAGCTAGCACAGTAATTTAGTGACCTATCCAGCCATGTAAGAGCGTGCGTCGTAATCACGACTACTATACCTATATTAACATGGTGTCACCATGGCAACTGCAAGCAATAGACAAGTTCAATGACCAGATAGGCAATGCACACAGGGAAGGGTGACGTGTCTAATTATGCTATGACTAGCTGGCTTGCAATGCGAGTTTGGTTGGGATGAGCGCTGCACCGGCGCGGGTTTCAGCGAAAACAACTTTGCTGCATTAAACAGCCGCCAGCTTAAACGTTTTAAGTTTTGAAGGGAAGCATCGTTTGGCGTGGGGTCGGTAATAGTATATGACGGGTGCGGTCCTAGCGCTGAATGACCTTCGATATGACCTTACAGGCAAGCATATGCTAGCTTGTGTCCCATTTTCATTCGTGTGAATCAATATTTGTGACCGAATCTTCGAAATTGCTCATTTCGTAACAGCCGGCAATTTGCAGAACTTTCTATAAGTGTATTTGCTCTGCTGATGAACAGTTATGCTTGCACGCCTTTAGCTGGGTCTACCAGATGGCATTGAACTCTGCCGGAGTGGCTTCATCATATTTGCAGTGCTGTAAAACTGGTACTCGATTCAAGTGTCTGTGGACATACTTCTAGCCGCAGTAGCCACGGAGCAGATATGTCGGTTGACGACCATGCGCCATGTAGTAGTATTGTGCTATAGCTAGACGATGGGGAGCAAGGGGCGGCTGAAGATTTAGCAAAGTTTATAGTGTCATGTATTTTACATAGCGATTATATTGAGTTTGCGAATCGCTGAGAATCAGCCGCTGTTGGTTGATCCAGCTAAACTTAGGATCGGACCGTTTACGTAGGAACGCCGGCTTTGGTTGATTCGGCATAACTGTATTTCATTGGTACAAACCTGCATTACTCTTGCTGAATGCGTTAGTTATATACTCCTCTTAATGGCACAATCGTGTCGAAGAAATGATTTAGTGTGAGTTTTGCACATACTACAGCGTTGACTTTCACGTGACCTCAACTCTGATAAGAATTACAATATTTTCCCTAATGGAGTTTCAAGTTATTGGTCATGTATTTTCAGGATATATAAAGGCAATAAAAGCTTTCGCGTCATTACCGCATTGCAATAAACCTATACATCTCCAGCATAAATCGTACATTAGAGACAATAAAATATACACCTCGCGTTCTTGATAACGATGGTTTCTCTCGCGGTGGCATTATTGATCAATATCTCTCGTGGTGGCTAATTTCAAACATAATGAAACGCGTGTGCAGTTTGTAAAACCTCGGTACACACAAGCTCGTGGTCAATAAACAGTCGGTTGTGTAATTAACTATCGACCAAATTAATATATTCCACGGCGGTTTAACCGCCGGAAAATCATATTCAAATTAGCTCATTATTATTGATATTATTATTCTATATTAACACTGTCAATGAAGGTAGACGGACACATAGAAGGCGATACCATTTTGTTTTGTTCTTT